AGTTTGGCCAATGTAAATTAATCCACACTGGCAAGGAATCCTATAAATACCCCAGGAATTCATATCCGGAATGGGGTCCTTGAGTATGGAAATTGGAATTTTATTGATGGGAGAATAAACAACCCGAAAGTTAAATTTCTGAAAAATATGTGCAACTTTATAGCTAATTGATGGAAAGAAGGGAATGCACAACAGAATTTTTTATAATCTCCTAAAACAAGAGTGTGCCTTTTAGTGTGTTGAGATGAGAATTTTTTAACTGCTTGATTAATAATGTTGGGTGGAAAGCCCCTGTCAATAGCTATTGCTTTTAAATACTTTAGTTCTTCATCAAGGGCTAGTTTGGAGGAGCAAACTTGAAGAGCACGGAAAACATTGGAATAAAATGAAGCTAACTTTTGTTTAGTCGGATGACATGATTTAAAGTGTGGTGGAAAGCAAACCGATGAAGGTTTACGGTAAACCGTAGTACTGAAGTTGGATGTGTTACGTGTGACCAGAATGTCGAGAAACGGAAGAGAATTGCAAGTCTCAAGTTCAAAAGTGAACTGAATAGCAGGATCAATAGAATTCATTGTTGAAAGAACTTTATTTAAATCATCTTTATTACCTTCAAACAGAGTAAAAGTATCGTCTACGTAGTGGAACCATGCCGGGAATTTAAAGTTTCAAACAATTTTGATTCATAATAATGCATGTAGATATCAGCCAGGATGGGACTGAGGGGGCTTTCCCATGGCTAATCCCTCAGTTTGCTTGTAATATTTATTTTGGAAAACAAAATGTGTTTGTTTCAAACAGAGTTGAGTGAGAGAAATTAGCTCATCAATTTCGATGCAAGAGAAATGAAATTTGCAAAGTCTGGTTTCTAGACATCTTAATGCACCCTCCACTGGGACATTGGTGGTGAATAATGATTTTACATCAAAAGAAACCATGAGTAAATTACTAGGAGAAATGTTTTTAAAACTTTTTTAAAACTCTATTGAATTTTTTATGGTGTAAATGTTATTGTCTAATAGAGTTGAAAATCTAGAAACTAAATATTTAGCTAATGGATATGAGGCAGTACCTAAATTTGATACAATAGGTCGGAAAGGAATACCACTTTTATGAATTTTGGGAAGAGCATATAATCTGCCACAATTCGCAGCAGATGGGATAAGTGAATGTTTTAAGTTGCCTGAAATGTATAGAAGATATTTACTGTACAGTTAGAACTCCATTTATTTGAACTCCCAGTAACAAAGGCCTACTAGTGGCTGAGTTGGTAAGACTGCTGAGCACTAGGAATTTAAATGAGGTTCAAATCCCAGTGAACAGACTGGCTTGGTAATGTGATATGAGCTAGTTTCCCTTAGTAGAAAGTCCTTCATGAAGCTATCTCACCTCCTAGGCAGATAGTTCTGGTTTCCTTTGCCAAAAGGAAATAAACCAAAACTCAGTAAGAAAATATTTCCATCTCAGTCACTTGACTTTTCTAGGCTAACTAAAATTAAATTTACTGTTACTCTATTTTATATGCATTTACACCTGAAACTATGTGTCATTGATTTCATGAGGTGAATGCTTTTGTCTTGTCAAAATATTAATTGTGCTATTTCACTAGCTGGAAATATTTGCTGCTGGTCTTGTGAATAAGCAATTCATTGGGGGGTATGCCCAATTTTATCTTGAATAATTCTTCCTCTTTCTTAAGTATGAAAAATCTCCATATGGCATTCATATGTGATAGAAAAAAGTCATAGCAAATCTTTTCTTCTCCACTTTGGCACTGCTGTCTGAGCACTCATTATAAATGTATAATTTTATGTTCTGTGTCTTGAATTTCTGAGGGATTAATTCTTAAATTATAAGGCTTTGTGTAACTGTATAGCTTAAAACCGTTACAAGTGTTGTAATAGATTAGTTTTTTTTTATGTACATTTACATTAATTGCAGTTATTTATATATCTTTTTAACATTTTGAAGATTTTGCAGGTGAACTCTTTCTTAGAGTGTTAAACTATAATTTAGAATTATCAAATTGCAAATTTAATATAACAACTCTTTAAAAATTCGTCTTTGAGGTTTTTATTTCATTTTTCAATAAAATTCTGCCTGCAGTAAACAGATGCCATTTCTAGAGACAGTGCATAAGGTCTTTAGTTTTTGTTCTGTTTTATAAAAGTGTATTGCTTTGTACAGAATAAATTAATCATTTAAAGTTTCATGTTATCTGTACTTCTTAACAGTATTTTATGACACACTATGCAACAAGTATATAAAAAAACACTTGTTGCATAGTGTGTCATAAAATAGGTTTAGCATCCTCTGATTGGTCAGTTGCAAAATTTCTATTTCTTTTTTGCCCTTGTTATCTGCATCCAAAAATAATCCTAATTGTTTTGATTTAATTTTGTAGTAGCATAATAGACTGAAGTCATATCTGCTTTTAGTTTTGTTCAAACAATGGCATAATACTTTATTTTCTAAGTTTATACCATTTTATGTGTAAAACAAAATGCAGAGGTGAGCTTTTAAAACTGATATTCTTTTTGAGTTTTAATTTTATTCAACAATACAGATTTAATTTCATGAATTTGCAGCTGTTTATGTTTAATAAGTGTTTTTTTAAATATTTATATGATTTTTTTTTATATTTATTTTTTTTAACTTTCATAACTTTTTTTGGGGATCTCTTAATTAAAATGTTTGACTGTAATCTGAATTGTTCAGATTGACAGTTTTATATATTTATTGGTCTATTTTATATGATGTAAAAAATGTTATGTTCTCATATTTTTTAAAGTATATAGCCTATGAATATGTCTAAATTATTCAACTAATATTTCATCTAAGAAATTTCATGAAAATTGCTCTTGCATATTGTTTAATATGCATTTCAATATAGTCTTTCTTTTATAAAAACAGACTAAACAAGTATGGTTATGCTGTATCATTTCCCATTTTTATAAGGAATCAAGTGCTATCACTTGCATTAATGCATGTATGGCTTACAGAAAAATGTCATTATGTATTTATGTATATAAAAAAACTAGGTGAATCTGATTAACTATCCAGTTTATTGCAGATATTTGAAACTCTGGTTTTTTTTTTTTTTTTTTTTTATATATATATATTTATATTATCAGGATTTTCTAAAATTAGAGTTAAATGTAAAGAGTGGTAAAAAGTGTTATTCAGTTGTTGTCAAAGTGGTTCCTAAGTTGATTTTGAAATTGAAATATCGCCTGCAAATTTAGTGTGACACTTCCTTGCTAAATTTTGGCAGTGAAAGCATTTTCAAGCCTTTCTGGCTTAGGTGTTGCTATTTTTGCAGACAAGTGAAATTCTTCCTTCCTATTTCTTATATGATTTGGGGTACTTTGAGGATCAAAATGCAGAGTCTGACAGTCAATTTTTATGAATTTCTGATACAGCAAGTTTACCCAAACCAAATCTATACTATTAGTTTGAGAGAAGAATTAAGGGATATTTAAGAAAATATGATATAGGATTATTTAAAATTGTTGTTCCAAATTGAAATAAGTATGATCTTTTTTGTTAACAGTATGGTAATCTGATAAACATCAAGTGGCAATTGAAGCATCCGAGTATGAACATTTTATCAAAACACCTAATATAAATTTCTTAACAAAGTACTAATTTGGCATATGTGAAGGTTCATTCACAGTAAATATAGTCAAATGAATTTCCACTGCTGGTCTTCTTTGATTACAGAATTTTATACCCTCCTTCTTTTTCTTTTTATACATATTAAAATGGGCTCATTCCTGATTTTCCATCATTGTTATTTTTGTAGAGTTAATAACAAAGGATATGGTTAAGGAATATAGCAGAAATGTGACCTTAATTTTGATGATGTCTGTATAACTAAAGGAAGTCAAACAGAACACTTTTTAAATAAAATTAGGTAATTTCTTTTCCACCTCTAATACTTCTCACTCCAGTTTTATAAATTTAAAAAGAAAAGCCATTTAAACTTAAATAAATCATTTTGAATAGCTTTGTATTATGCAGATTTTTTGAGGGGTGTTATTATGTATACATTGTATACTTTTTATTGTTAATAAATCTCAAGTTTTTTAAAATTTAAAAATTAGACCCCAGTACGCATGCAATCCAGCCTTGATATTTGAAATCTCACGGGAGGAGAAATCAAATTATGCAGTTTTTGAGGTAATTAGGTTTACTTTTATGATAAATTTTTGGAAACAGTGCATGCAAATTTTTGTATTGTTTGTACGCGAGGCTAACATTGATAAAAATATTTAATTTTATTAATGTTTTAAGTTTTTAAACTAAAAATACAAGTTTTATCAAAGATAAATCAAGTTATTTAGTGAAGCACATTATAGAAATGTAAGTAATTGCAGCACATTTTAGCAATCAATTTCGTAATTTTTCTAAAATAACCAATTTTCATAAAAATGGGGGGGGAGAGAAGGAAAGAAAAAAAAGAGAGAGACAAAAAAATTATAAATCTTTCTTGATTTGTATTCATTTTGTTACTCTGAATATCCAAGAAAGTTATCTTTGCTTTTTAGAACACAGAAGCAATCGATCAGCCACTTCCACCAACACAAAAATCTAAGCTATCAGTCCAGTGGGGACTGTCCAATATTTCCAGAAGAAATGAAGTAAATATTTCAACTGCTTATTCCTTGGTGTGACACAGGGAAAAAAATTCAAGATAACAAGGGATTACCAAAAAATTCTTCAAATTAACTGTAGGAAAATGCATTGATTTAAATGCTGAAAATGTAGGAAATAGGTTCCAGATTTCATGATTTGACTGTACTTGTAATTTAATTTTTTAAGCTACATATTTTAATTGAAAATGTCAAATTTTTTAATTACTTATATCTGTTTAAGATATAATGAAATAATCATTTGGAGTATTATATCTTAAACGCATATAAGCAGTTAGAAAATTTGACATTTTCGATTCAAAGTATGAAATTGTTTTCATTCTAAGAAAAGCAATCTTTTTTTAGGGTACTCCTCATGTTACTGAACATTTGATTGATTCCAAAAAGGCAGTTGACAAACAATTGAAAGTAGTGTGCGAAGATTTTATTTCACATACTGTTACATTGCTAATTGGTTCTCTGCAAGAATTTTTGGAAAAGGTATGCTGGTTTAAATATAATTATTTTGTATTTGCATTTTATGCCTTGTGTTATATATTTTTTATATTTCTTGATGATTTATTGTGATATTAAAAATATCTTTATGTGATATTTTCAGCAATTAGCATTTAATTTAGCAAAATTAAAAACAGCAAATGTCTGTCAGACATAAAAATGTTTAAGAAAGTTTAAAATTATTCAGAAGTCTTTAATTATGGTAATAAATTTGTGAATAGGCTAGGCGTATTTTAAAATTAATCTAATTGCATTACATTTATTGACACGGACTTCTTCCAATTATGGCCTTTTTTTTTTTTAAAGGGACATTAATTCTTATGATCTAAATCTTGATTTTCTGAGATTACAGAGCAGAAAACATGAAAAATCACTTAGGTCTTCACAAGGATTTATACCAGAAGCACATGCAGGGAACTTCCCCTGACTTAAAGAGTGATTGGGAAGAGAGAGAAGCGAGACCTAATTTTTCAAATCCAGATAGTGGCAAATTATTGTCTATCACATTTTAGTGCCTAAGTGGACCCACTTAATTTTTAAGAATATGAAACATTAGGAATGAACTGTGCTGTTGCTGGAATCCAAACCACAGATCTTTCAACTGCTAGCCAGTTGAAAGATCTGTGGTATCATAATATCAGAAAGGAAAGGTGATAATTCCAATTCCATGTATACTTAGTGTTGCATTCATTAGAGCGGAAGGAATTAATAATTGCAGCAACTATTTGGGATTACATGTTTTTCAGTCAGTCAGTGCATCTGCTTAATTAAATGCAGAACTGTTGCATAATGAAACTTCTGAAATTGTTATTTATACTGTTTTTGAAATAGTATTCATATTATTACAGATTAAAGGCTCAGAAAATATATGTAAATACAGTGTAAAAATTAATGAAATCTTATATGATCTTGCTAAATAGATAATTATGTATTTTAGTTTTTCCTCCTCCCAATTTAAATTTTAACTTAGAAGGTTCAGCATGTTTGTTCTTTTTGCAGGCTAAAATAATTGCACAAATGCAGAGTTCACCAAATTCGCAAGATATTAGCCTTAGTCAACAACCCTTTGCTTCAGCTGAAAAGGTATCACAACTCATTGCAGATAATATTCGGGATTTGAAATCCAAGTTGCCTTCCTTGCATAGGAGTATGTCTCTTTATTTAGCTAATCCTGACACTGAATATATATTACTTCGCCCTGTAAAGGTTAGTATTCGTGTTAACATTTTTAAAAATTATTATTTAATATTTTAATTAATGCAATGCATAATAAGCTTTTTTCATTTGAAAATAGATGTTGAATAAATGTTACACTTTTTTAAACTTAATTTTTAATTGCTTAATAAAGATTTTAAAATGTTCAGCATTTAAACTCAATAACTTAAAAACTGTTTTAAATGTTTTAAAGACATTTTTGTACCCTTTATATTATACTGAAAATTAATTCAGATAAATTGTAAAAATTAAGATGAGTTCTTATGTTTTCAGATAATTTATTTTTCTTTTCATAACTATAAAAAATGAAGTATCAGAGGCATTATTTATAATGAACCTGAAATACTGATTTTCTATTTTACTAATGTTTAATTTTCCTGCATGAAACACATCATTTTGAAATATGTTGAATATGAATCATATTTCAATTCTTTGAAAATATCATTGAAATAGCTTTCAGGAAACTTTTCCTATTTTCTAAAAACAGAATTTTTCAAAATATATTTTCAAAGAAATTCGGAATAAATACAATTATTTTCTCAATTTGAACTAGAAATAGAAATCTTTTTTTTTTTTTTTTTTTTTTTTTTTTTTTTTTTTTTTTTTTTTCCCTCTTCCCTGTCATCTTAATGCTTAGCAAAATCCCTAGGCAAATTAGCAGTTCAAGACATTAAGAAAAGTTGCTAAATTTTAGTATTTCCTTTTCCCTTTCTTTTACATTTTCTAATGTATGAAAATCCTTATTTATCTCAGACACAAATTGCAAATAAAATAAATTTAGTCAATACTATAAATAGGATTATTTCTAAATGAGATTTTATTTGTAGAGTAACATCATTAAAAGTGTAAAAATTTTTTAAAATCAAAGTTTCAAGAGCTTGAAGAAAAATTGCTTATGTAATTTCAGCAAGGAAGATCAGTAAATATTCTGATTAATAAGAGTATTTTGCATACAAAGATGAAATCTTAAATAAATTAAGATGAGTTTATTCCATCTAATGGATAAACGAATGTGCTCAAAAACCATACCAGCTTTGTTAGTTGATCCATAAACATCAAATGTAAAAGTGGAGTTGCCATGAAAGAAATGACCAGAAAATTAAAAATCTTCATCAATTACTTTTTTATCTCCACTGTGTGAGACCGTGTATTGGAAATTCTAAAGATATGCTCATTTTAAAATTATTTTGCAATATTGCTGTTGAATTTTTTGAATGTGAAATGCCTCTAGAAAATCCAGTTCACCAATGGAAGATGTTTTTTGAATAATTTTGGCAGCAGAAAAATTGAAAGTGTGTTTTTCGGACCAACAATGTTGAGCAACAGAAGACTTCTGTGTTTCCTTTACCTGTCGGGCCTGTCAAAAATAAAAACTGCGATCAAATCTTCACAAATCCTTTCAAGCAACTTAAAACATTCGCTTATCCCATCTGTTGCGAATTGTGCTAGATTATATGCTCTTCCCAAAATTCATAAAAGTGGTATTCCTTTCCGCCCTATTGTATCGAATTTAGGTACTGCCTCGTATCCATTAGCTAAATATTTAATTTCTAGATTTTCAACTCTATTAGACAATAACATTTACTCCATAAAAAATTCAATAGAGTTTGTAAAAAAGGTTAAAAGCATTTCTCCTAGAAATTTACTTTTATTTTTTTTTTTAATGTAAAATCATAATTCACCAATGTTTCAGTGGAGGGTGCATTAAGATGTCTAGAAACCAGACTTTGTGAATTTCATTTCTCTTGCATCGAAATTGATGAGCTAATTTCTTTCACTCAACTGTGTTTGAAGCAAAAGCATTTTGTTTTCCAAAACAAAATATTACAAGTAAACTGAAGGATTAGCCATGGGAAGCCCCCTCTGTCCCATCCTGGCTGATATCTACATACATTATTTTGAATAAAAATTGTTTGAAACTTTAAACTTCCCGGTATGGTTTCGCTACATAGACAATACTTTTACCCTGTTTAAAGGTAATAAAGATGATTTAAATAAATTTCTTTCAACAATGAATTCCATTGATCCTGCTATTCAGTTCACTTTTGATCTTGAGACTTCCAATTCTCTTCCGTTTCTCGACATTCTGGTCACACGTAACACACCCAAATTCAGTACTACGGTTTACTGTAAACCTTCATTGGTTTGCTTTCCACCCCACTTCAAATCATGTCATCCGACTAAACAAAAGTTAGCTTCATTTTATTCCTCTGTTTTCCATGCTCTTCAAGTTTGCTCCTCCAAACTATCCCTTGATGAAGAACTAAATTATTTAAAAGCTATAGCTACTGACAGGGGCTTTCCACCCAACATTATTAATCAAGCAGTTAAAAAATTCTCATCTCAACACACCAAAAGGCACACTCTCATTTTAGGAAATTATAAAAATTCTGTTGTCATTCCCTTCTTTCCATCAATCAGCTATAAAGTTGCACGTATTTTGCAGAAATTTAATTTTCAGGTCGTCTATTCTCCCATCAATAAAATTCCGATTTCCATACTGAAGGACCCCATTCCGGATATGAATTCCTGGGGTATTTACAGGATTCCTTGCCAGTGTGGTTTAATTTACATTGGCCAAACTAAGAGAGCCTTAAAATTTCACATTAAGGAACATGAAGCATATATTAGGAAAAAGGAAACACAGAAGTCTTCTGTTGCCCAACAATGTTGATCCGAAAATCACACTTTCAATTTTTTTGCAGCCAAAATTCAAAAAAACATCTTCCATTGGTGAACTGGATTTTCTAGAAGAATTTCACATTCAAAAAAATCTTTCTGTTCTAGTTAACGACCCTAATTCTAATCCATCTTTGCCTTCAGCCTTTAAAGAAATTATGTTTTAGTTCTGGTTTCATCAACAGATGGCGCCAGTAGCTTATCTCCTGTCCAAGCTTTCTTATCTTATCATTATATCTTACTTTGTTCATTTGTGCTTTTGCAGCTAAAGATGATGGTTCGGTAAAACAATCGAAATAAGTCCTGTGAAAATTTGAAAATATAACACTGATTTTTGTTGTTTGACTTCTAAATTAATATTTGTTCAGCATGTTATTGTATCTTAATGTTAGAGGCCTTTAAAAATAATAGTAACAAAGGAATTAATTATGTCAAGCATCATTACAAAGTGCTTTATAAAATAAGATTTCATAATAAAGAATATGCTTATGATGTTGAAGAAAATGGTTAAAAGACATTACAGAATAAAATAAATTTAAGTTCATCTTTTAATGATTTATAAATGTAAGTAGTGATATATCATGAAGGAAATCTTATTTTTAAATTTTTTCTGTGGAAATTTTGTTTCTGAAGGACTCACATCAACAAGATAATGAAAATTTGGTTGAAAATAAAAGCAAATATGAAAAACCAAAACATTTTCCCACTAATGAAGACCTGTTTATACTGCATGTTAATCAGTTTGGAAATGTTCTGTCATTACCTAGAAAATCAAGAAACTTTTATGACAGCTTGAATGGTAGCATTTGAAGTTTATTGAAAATATAAAGAAGTGGTTAATATTAAAAAAGGTTTTAAAATTAAATAGTGGTTGTTTTTTAATTAATAAATGAAAGTTTTAATTGATAAAAAATTTGCAAAAAAACGTGCTAAAAAAGAGGGAGACAGGCACTTTTCTTCTATTTTGTAGATTTAAATTTAAATCAAATGAACTAATTTCTAAAATAATTTAATTAAAAAATAAAAATAGATTTAATTTTAAAACAATAGTAAAATGATAAATTTAATATTATGTTGTTGGTATTAAGTGATCAGCTATGAATTATTTTAATATATTTAAATGTTTGACTGCATTTACAAGTTCATTATAGTTTGGACATTTTAAGGAAGAAAACAGTGTCTGATATTCAAGACAGTATATATTTACTTTATGAATTGCTTTATTTTCTTATAATAAGTATTTTGGGATTCCAGTGAATTTGGGATCCATATTTTTGGTTTTTAGTTACATTGTTTTTTAGTTTAGTTATTGATTTTTAGTTGAGACCTGGTGGTGCAGTGGCTAGCGCATCGCACAGCAGCACCATAGGTCAAGGGTTCGAGCTGCGGGCTGGGCGAGGTCGACTCAGCCTTTCATCCCTTGATTTCCATCCCTTGGGTCGATAAAATAAGTACCAAGTTCACTTGAGGACTAAACACTGGGTCCTGCGACAAGCTGACCACTTGTTCAATGCATATGCTTATGCACCCCAGGGCCCACGGTCAAGAAAGCAGATATTGGGGTACTGCAGGCCTTGGACAGAATTCGTACGGTCCTTAAAAATCCTTAGATTTTTTGGAATCGATTTTTGTTCTTTAAAAGTCCTTAATTTTGGTCAAAATCAACAGAAGGTCATTAATTTTAATCATCTAAAATTTCTGTTTGTTTTTATGACTGTCATTTTAGTGTGAATTAGCATTTTGAAGAATATTTTTGGCGATTCACTGCCGTATATATGGCAATCGTTTGAATAGGTTAATGAGTTGTAATTTGTTTCTATTTCTAATATAAATGATGGGATACTCGAGTTTCTAAGCAAGAAGTGAAACATAAGCATTTTGAAATTCATTTATTCTAGTAAAGAGCTCTTAAACAACTTTTTGCTTTTGGGGATGTGAGTTCTTTTATTAAACTGTTCTAAATTTGGCGACTTTTCAACATTTTGGCGATTTTAAGATAAGTTTTTATAGAAACTTTTTAATTTCAAAATCTGAGAATTTTTCAACGATTTTTTTTAAAACATCGTGACATTGATAAATTTTATTAAAATAATGGTAGTATGTAGAAATTATATTTAAAAAATAACATTAAAATAAAACATTTTTATTTTTCACTGTCATATTATAAAATTTCATTTTGGCAACTTATACAATATTTTAAATCTGAAAAAAAACAAGGTATAATGCTATAAAGCACAATTTATGAAACAGCTCTTAGCAAAAGCAAAATTAGCTGTGTAATTAATTAAAAATGTCTTGTTTTTAATTTTTTCATAGTAAGAGTTTTTTCCATGTAATTATCTCAGAATATTCAAAATTCTCAGAATGTGCATCAGTTTTCTCTATAAAATTAATTTTATTTTTTTTCCTACTTTTTTCCCTCCTACTTTTTTCCAAAATATTTCTGGCTTTTTTTCTGTTACAGAAATGATAGGGGTAATTTTTCTTTAGGATTTTAGACATTGCAGCTTGGAAAGTTTAGAAGGATTTGAAGGCAAGATTTATAGACCTAGATTCGAGAAATATGTGACAAAATGAAAAATGTCCCATGGTATCAACACGTAGTGGATGTATTTTACAGAAAGTTTGCAATGAATTTCTTAATTTTGGGTGAACATCTGGAAGTGCAATGAAAACATAATAGTATTTGAATGTATTACTTCTGATACTAGAATCTTAACATGTTTATCTTCTCTTTATTTTCTCTACTTTTCATTAGACAGAAGCATGGAAAATATCAAAAATGCTTCTGATCTTATCACATGGGCAGGCATTATAGAAAGGGATTTTTTTATTAATAAAGAAATTGAAAACTTACAGTTTAAAAGATTCATCTAATATTTCTTAATACATCATACACATAGCTAGCAATAGGCATTTTACCACCTGATGCAATCTCTGTGGATCCTAAATTCTGCTGCCTACTGCCTTTCTAAATTCTGCTTCCAATGCTTGCTTTAAATTCTAAAAGTTTTGCCATTTCTAGATTTTGTTGTTTGGTGTGTTACTAAATTCTAGAAATTCTGCCACATTAGCTCTGTAATCGTCCTTTACTATATATATTTCATATTGCTTCTGAATGTTCATATTACTAAAGAAATAAAATTAGCCATTTTTTCTGTACTTTCTAAATGCATTTAGTGTTTTTAGAATAACGGAAATCCTTAATTAAATCCAAAAATTCTAAAATGAAAAGGAAAGGTGTTGAAGAAAGAAACTGAGTACATAAAGGAAATTATTCTTCAAAGATATGTGCAGTTATTATTATGTAAATTACCCAGTTGTTTGATTTCAACCTTTATTATAATTTAATTTCTATTTCCTCATATGATACAGTTATTGAGCCAGATTAAATTACTATTAAATTGTATAATCTTTGACCACTAGTCCACATTATTAGTTTGAATTCGACTGATCTTGTTTAATTACGTCACCGTGAGCTGTAATTGATTTTGTTAGCATCAGAACATGCCTTTATGTTCTAAGTTCTTTTTAAATAAGAGGCGTATTTAAACCTTTGTCTGATATTGTAGTTAATTTTAGGCATAGCGATAATATGCTTCACGTCTGTCGGGAGTTTTGGACTGTTTAACTTTTACCAGATCAATTAACCCTCATAGGTACATTATGGAGAGATTGATAAGTTAGGAGATGAAGCACACAGAAACTAGTGAGAGCATTGGTTTGCATATTGAGACTAATCTCTAATTGTTAGAAAAGATGCTCAAAAGAGAAGGAAATCGATATAAACATTCAAATATGACCAACTATCATAAGTGTAAAATATTTCATGCTACTTGATAAATTTGCATAGTTTATTTTATTCTAAAACTTATTAACAATTATGTTAATTAATTCATGTTTAGTAATAATGCATACTACTAAGGGATCTATTTTATTTTTAGGATGGTATTATAAAAGTGAAATTCAGGTATAGATAATATTTTCAATTGAATTTATTCAGTTCCCGTTTGCTCATAGGTCCTTAATTTTCATTAATGGTCCTTAAAAGTCCTTAATTTCCGTGTGCAGAAATGTGTACGAACCCTGTTGGACCATTAGGGCTGTCTTAGGCCCATTGGGTTTATTTTATTTTTATTTATTTATTTTTATTAATTGGTTTTTAGTTACATATTTAGTTCAATTTTTAGTTTAAGCTAGTTGTTTTCAATTTATTCATAAAAATAATTGTGGTTTTCCATCTTTGTGTATCCTGATTGCTGTAATTTGAGCTGAGTGGTATTTATAGCTCGGTTTACAATGACATTTAAGAAATCAGCTATATGCATGTTCTTCCCCTTTCTCCTGGAAGGAATGGGAACTTTTATGGTTTAAATAAAATTTTCATATATAAAAGTAATTTTGGTAACACAGTTTGCTTATTGTTATAGCCAGAGCTGAATCTAATGTTCGGGTAAACTCTTCTACATAATATAAAATTCTCAATAATAAGGTTCTGAGAAAATAGTGCAAAGTTGCTAACCTGTCTGTATACTACTCTGACCATATTCTTGATGCTTCTGTCATCTGTCATCTTGTTGCTTCTGTCCTCGGTAACTTAAATCTGATGCCATTGTTGTATTCTTTAATAAACTAAATTCTAGGATTACTGTAAGGTTACAAATATATAGTTGTTTATAGGGGGAAATTCAAATTCACAAAAGCTATACTTCATATTTCTTCTAAAACTGGCAACTTTTTTTTTAATTCAGTTTTTTTTATTACTATTATTAATTTTCTTGTTTATGTTACAGAAGATAAGATGGAATATAATTTTTATGCCTTTTAACAATGAATCTTATGAAAAACATTAGAAAAATAGGTTTTGTTCCTGTAAATACTGAGACCAGATATATATTTTTAACTGTAAAGTTTTCCAAAGTAAGCTGCAGAATGTAATGAAAGTAGTGTCAGCTCTGTGAGTAAAGAAGATTCTCAATAAGAAAAGGATATGCAGCAGTTAGTAAATAAGCAAAAATTCCTTATAGTGATGAGGAAATAGGTGCTTTATGAATATGCTTTCTTTCAAGTAATTTTTCAAACTATTTAAATTTGAGATTTTTTTAGAACAAACTAATCAACTAAAAAAGGAAATTGCTCATTTTAGCAAATTATGATTCAGCGGCATTCATTGTTGAATCTGGCCTGATCCCTTTAGGGTAAAAATGTTCGTTGATCATTTCTGTGAGTTAAGCATGTTGGTATGGAATTTTTCTCTTTTAAATAATGAAAATATGGTATTTATTTTACCAAACTTCATTTTTATTGTATGGAGTTCTCATAAAATTAGATTGTTTTTATATAACCCTTTTAATATAACCCTGTGTCAAAAATGTTTTCATAAAATTTCCCCCCTTATTTCAAGGAACTTTTTAATTGGCGAGGGCATATTATATATTATCTAAATCAGTATTTAATGAAATGCAGTTTTTCTCATGCTTGAATACCTTATGTACCATGATTGAAACACAGTAATATCGATGATTATTTCTGATGCACGGTGGCATAACTTTTGAAATTAATGTGTTCATAAATACTTATAAGTTTATTTTATCTAGACCCAAATTCAGAACTGCTTTGAACAAGTTTTACAGCTAATTCGAATGAACTATACAGAAGAAGAACAAGTAATCATTGCATGTCCTTCTTTAGAACAAGTAGGTAGCATTTCTTTAGTGTAATTAAGGTTTTGATTTGTGATCCATAATTAAAATATATATGTTTTATCACTAATATTTATTATGTATGTTTTATCAGTAATTTACATCCGTACAGTAACTGTTAGGTTCACTTACACTCATGTCCAGATTTATATTTACATGTCCAAAAATGATGATATTCCTTGAAATATCAAATCGATGCAACACTATTTTTTGCAGAGAACTTGTGAAAGACAAGTCTAACCAGTAGTATTCAATCAGTCCATTTCTAATATGCTAATCAAAGCATTATGTCATTTGACAGTGAATCAAAAATGAATGTCTGAGGGAAATTTCTGTAATACAGTCAAAAGTCGTTAATCCGGACTCATCGGGACTTCGGCGATTCCGGATTATCAATTTTTCTGGATTATAGATCATCAGTTTAAATCTGGTAAGATGGCATGCAGAAATTATAAAATTAAAAATATGAAACTGTAATTTATGAAATAAAGAACAATTATGATCTAAAGAGTATCAAAATTTACAAAAAAAAAAAAAAAAAGCTTAATATTTAGTTGTTTACTTTATTAAACATTTCTTTCAATGTAAGTTGTTTAAGTTGATTTGTTTTTTATGTGATAATACATTCTCTTTAATTCTATAAACAGACATAATTTCTTGTTCAGTTACAACATTCCGCCTGTTCAAGTCCTATAATTGCTGTGTCAAGAATACCGATTAATTTGTCAATCGAAATTTTTTCGTTTTCAATAACCTCTGTCACTTTCTTCGCTATCGGAAGCGAATTATAATGATGAGGAATTTGATTTAAATCATATTAAAGACAGAGTACATTGAGATGAAATACTACATTTAGTAAGGAATTGTAAGCCAAATAAAATAAAAACATCTGCCCTGAAGGGATAGTGCTGACAGTTCAACTTCCAATTCATTGCGCGCCGCCGCGGCGTTAAAGATAAATAAAGTTTAGATAAACAAAGGATATGCCTTTATCCATTTTTTGCAGCAATTCCACTTTTTGTTTAATAGGGCATTTCGAAACATACTTTCGCTTTGTAGATCCTTTGGTAGCTATATTAGTAATATATATCAGAAATTCTATTTTGACATAATCGAAAAGTTCAAGCTTACTTTTATAAAATTGCTCTAACAGTCTGCAAAAAATAATAAGCCGAATCCAATTCGAAGATTAAGGAACTACGTAATCTGCAACATTAACTGAATTAGATAATTTTAGCTTAGGTTATAGCGTCCGTTATACATTAAACGCGCATTCGTAAACGTATTTTGTACACGCATATTCGCAGCCATAAAGGTCTTACGCGCATGCGTCAAAAAAGTTTGTAGCTTTGAGGTCCGGATTATGGGTGTCCGAATTAACGACTTTTGACTCTACAGCATTTGATTTCAATGTATAAGGAATGGTTCAAAATGGTTTGCTATACCTTGAAAGTATCATTTGGAAGAATCTGTGAAATGGCGAATAATTGGCCATTTAGAAGTAAGGTAGACTATCATAGAAGCAATGAGATGTATGAATATTTCAAGACAGACATATTGTACACTATGGAAATAATTTCATAACTTTGAAATTGTTGTAAAACCTGAACCTGTAAATGAATAATTGCTTCTCAAGATCGATATTTGGCTATAAATGCGTGTTGTAAGAGGAAGTCTACTGCTCGGCAGTTAAGTTTGGAGCTTGTAGCTGCCATTACCAATCTGTTGTATATATTTCGTTCTTTAACACTATCATTTCAATAAAAGTACAAACTTTCAAAAAGAAGTTTAAACTGGAGTAAATAGCAGTGGTTTCATGTTCTTTTTGCTGATGATTCAAGGTTTAATTTAATATCTAAATCTTAATGTGTTTACATCTGGTGAGGGTCAGGAGCATGAAATCTGTAATGCAATTGTTCTGTTATTAGAGGGGAATAATGATTGGATGATGTATGCCCCTACATATTTTCAACAGCAGATCTATGACCAGCCAGAGATATCGGAAAAGCAGTTGCACGGAGACATCCTCCTGCTAGAGATTTAAATGCTCTGAAAACCACATTGTTAGGGGAGTGACATTTATTTCCTCACACTGTGGTTAACAGCAGTATTGCCATCATGAAAACACATTGTGATATGCATGTACAAGTCAGGAAAGATTACATTGCATTATTTAATTCATATTAATTTTTTTCTTATTTTTTTTAAACTCCTTGTAACATATTGTTATTATTATTATTGTTGTTGTTTCTTGCTACAATTTTATATCATACGCAGGGCTCTTAATTTTTTCCCTTTGTATTTATATGTTATGATGTTATGTATAATTCCATGCAAATTCATAAAATATCCCTTAAGTACAAACGTTCATTTTCTATTACGCAAACACAGAGGAGGGGTCTCTCAGACCGCGCTCTGTTTTATGCATTTAAAAAATATAAAATTTTAAAAGAATGTACTATTTTTATTATATAAGCATTAATACACTTTGCTTGTTATAGTGAAGCAATTAATTTTTTTAAACTCTAAAATTAATGCATTAAAAATTAATTTTTAAATCACATGTATGTGATTTAAATTAATTTTTAAATCATGTACATGATTAAATACAGAACACTTAATCAAATAAATAAAATAAACATTACTTAAAATAATGCAAATTAATAATGCAATAATTGCAAATGTATACAAACTAAACTATTTCATAAGCTTTCCATCTACAGAATCTGGATTACATAAAATAATACAAAAAAGTATAATATATAAAGAATATTAAAAAACTGCAGCACATTATTTTAAGCATTTTCAACACAATTTTCGCAAATTCTCATGGCACATTCATTATATATTGGATGCTTGAAGCTAAAACATAGATAGGTAGTTTTCCTTCTCAGTCTAGGAGGGACAAAAAAAAAGCATGTTTTTTGCTTTTCCGGGATATCAGTTACATCTGTGCAAGAATAGATCCCACTGGAAACTCCTAGCACTATCTGAATGCTCATTATTATATCTCGGCTGACATTTGGTTTCTGAAGGCTCCATTCCGTATGTGGTTTCACTAATTCTGATGATAAAATCATCAAAAAAATTTATTTTTTTCAATTTGGCACTATCTCTTAATGACTGATATATTAAATGTGCATTAATTCCACTTACATCAAGTAACCTAATATGGCTATTGGCCATCGCCTTGTTCTTCGGCTTGTAGAAAGTTAAGAACATTTTTCCCTGACCCTCACCAGATCATCTACACCTTCTTTAGTCACATCGTAAAATGTTATTATATCTTGTTTTTCAGTTTCAAGATCTTCCGATTTTTAATGATGCATTGAAGAAAGGAGAATAGCACTTTTTAATTTTTGAGGCACATATGAAACGAGTGTCATTTTGTCTGTGAATGCATAAAGAGAAGATCCTTTACTTTTTATTTTATTTGAAAAAAATTCACCTGTTATTTCACTCTTTTTTTTTTTTTTTTTTTTTTTTTTTCCATAGTACCGACATATGTCAAACCTCTAGAGTTAAGTTCTTGTACAAATTCAACACTCAAGTAGTAATAAAGCCATCTCCCCTTCATGCCAGAAAAAAGTAACATAAATGCAGAGGTGAGGTCTATATGACCACGGCCCAATTTAAAAAATTATTTAGGAAAAAAACTAATGGATTGAGTTTAATAAAAATTTAGGAATAGTTATATTTTATGTCAACTTGAAAGTACTGAAATGGAGAAGAATAACTATATAACTTATAAGCAGTTTCACAGTTCTAAAATATTGACACGGTCATATAGACCCCTCCTCTATGTTTGAGGGTTAAAGTTCAGAGTTTCTGGGAAATCTGTGATTTCATGCATGTAAAGATAATTTTGGACTTGAGTATAATAAGACTTGTGCTAGGAAAGTGCAAAGAAAATTGATTCAAGTTCAAAGCCACTCATTTATTGTCTCAATGTAGCTTTCTCTTTTTAAAGTAACTTCAAATAATAATAATGTATTTAATATAAATAGGCTATTATTATTTTTTTAATTGCCCAACCGTGCTACAAAGACTTAATTGTCCAACCGTGCTTAGTGTCCTTAAATGCCTTGCTAGGGCAAGGTGGCGTTGCACTGGACAAACTCTGCTCCAAACTTATCATTCGTTTATCCTCCCCCTTCTGACTTACAGCTGTGAACCACTTGTTGTGGCTGGGGAAAATGTACTCTAGAAAAATCCAAATTCACTGCTTACATATTGTGCCTGGTGCCATAAAGACCACCCCAATAAACACCATTCTTATGTTAACTGGTGATAAACCCTTAAGAACTGTAACTCAAGAGAAGGCCTTAATTCTCTAGGAAAAGATCATTTCACTTTGGAATGAAGAGTTCCTGGATGTCTTTCACTTTGGAATGAAGTCAATCAACATCTGACTAGAAATGAAAAGACCCAGATGGGCTTTCTACAGGGAGTTTTTCAGTTAAAAAATTCACTTGGTTTAATGAATGAACTAGAATTACTTGTTCCACTACAAAATCCAATGCATTTGAAATCTTTATGGATTAATCTTGACATGGGTCAAAAAGTAACCAAAAGTAATACGGATCCCTCTATTTTGAAAGCCCTAGCTCTCAAAATATTAAACATTTTTTACCCTGAACAGAGTGGCTTTGGATCTTTACTGAAGAATCCCTCCTGTCTGATGGCCCTAATGCAGGTGCAGTAGTTTTCTCTGGAATTTTCTCTTTCTACATCCCTGTGGGCCAAGGTTCTGCATTTGATGGTGAAATTGCTGCAATTCGCACAGCTGCATACCAGCTACCATGCCACTTGGAAAATTTCACAAGAGCTATTATCTTCACTGATTCCCGAGGTGCTCTGTTGGCTATCATTTCAGATAAAAATCCCATATCACAGGACATATTGGATTTTCAACATTATCTAAAAAACCTGGCATCATTTGAGAAAACTATAGTCCTCCATTGGATTCTTGCCCACTGTGGGGTTCCAGGTAACGAGAAAGCCGACTTCCTGGCAAAAAAGAGTGCTTTAATCATGCAGAATGTTTCTCGTCCTATGCCTTTCCATATTGTTAGTGATCTTATTAAAAGATCTTTCAAATTTCGTGCTCAGGAAGATCTTTATCATCATATTTTAATAAGTCTTTGAAGAATGCAATCCCGAATTTGTGTAATGGTCCAAGGTGTAGAGCGGTCGCTGAATTAAGCCTTGCCACCAGACATGACTGCCTACGATATCATCTCCATAGATTCAAAATTGTTTCTTCTCCGATATGCACTCTGTGCAGCTCTGGAGAGGTCATGGACACCGCACGTCTTCTCCACTGTCCACTGTCCTGCTCTGCGCAAGGCATTTCTCACCGAGTGTTACTGGAAGGCAAGAGATATGTTAGATTAATGGACTTGGCTGTAACTGTTCACAATCTGCTATTGAAAATATTTTTTTTTTAAATTTTAATGTAGTAGTCTAGTTATATATATGTGACTTTTCATTTAAAAAAATTTATTTAAGCAAATTGCATTTTAAAATCCAGAGGGCGAGTAATCTAGAGAACAAGTTTTAAAATAAATTCGATGTTTTAAGCAAATTGTATTTTAAAATCATCATGTTATTTTCATATAACATTTTTCAGTTAAAGCTATTGAACCATGTTTATTTTAAAAATAATTATAATAATAATACATGTTTGGGTGTGGAATTGTGAAAAATTGGGTACTTTTCTGTTGAGCTTGGTTAAAATTGTTTTTGAAATATGAATGTCTTTGATATATTTGAAAAACGAAACTCTGAAAATCTATGTAAAATTTGTGTGGTTTGTGGTAAGGAACTCTCAGACATTTTAATCAAATCTGACTGAAGTTTGGACATTAAGTCAAAACTGAATGCAGCAAAAAAAAAAAAAAAAAAAAAGTCACTACTAAAGCTGAGGGCATTTGGCCAATGACAAATGATTGAGCATGGGCCCTCATCTGACATGATCATAAGCCATTCATAATTTTGGCATGGGTTAGCAATAACAACAATACCAACATTGATCTTTTTAAATGGATACTTAAAAACATATGTGCAACAGAAGGATCATCAATTTCTGTAAAGTTAATAGTAAGAGAAAATAATTTGATTGCTTGAAAGGGATAAAATTATGAATTAAAAAGTTCTTTGGTTAAGGAATTAAGAAGAATTCACTGCATCTGCAGGTGAAAATAACATCAAATCCATTTATTTGCTGTTTCTTCAACAGTGTGTGTTGTTGTCAAATAAAAAATTAGTTTAAGTATAACAATAATGTGTTTTAATGAGCAATAATAGAATAAATTGAAAGAAATTTGGATTAATTCTTTGATACAAATAGTATATAAGGCAGAAATAGCTTATTATAATTATTATAGTTAATTATAATAATCAGTATTATCATTTATAACAGATGAGCTGTTCTTGTTAATAGCTTGATAGAAAATTGTGTAAAATATGTTAATAATGAGCCATCAAATTGGTAAATTGTTATTTTGTTGTTGAACAGAATGCATATTTTGCTTTCATATATTTCTTAGTTGTAATATACCTTAGAGAAAAAGAAAAAAAGAAAAGAAAGAAAGAATCACCATATGCTTAAAAACAAATCTTTTTTCAAGAAGATCCTGATCTAGTGTTAATTTTTTTTTTCTGTCTAAGCATTTGTGATAAATTAAAAATTTTTCTGTTAGAGAGAAACATTTTATGTTTTGAGAAGGAATCTTACAAGAAAGTGTGATATCTCAGACTTTTTGTATAATTATCTGAATGGATGTAATTATAAGTAATTATGCAAGAACTGTAGGGGTTTTGTAATTAATGAAGATTCTGAGTAAAAATTTGCTGTGAACCTATTCAGCTTTATAATAAGAGAGAAATTATGTTGAAGCATAACTGTAAAGTTTTATCAAGTAATAAACAGATAAGTTTTAGTAGTTATTTTAAATTACAATTGAATTATTTGTGCTCTGTTATAAAGATGTAATTTTGATTATAGTTTTGATACCTACATATTATCCTGCCAACCATTGGCTGAAATTTGAACAATGGTCACCAATTGCCAATATTACTATGGAATTTTAAAGGAAGTAGTCATTCATAATTGGTGCTAAATTGCACTACTTGGCAAGTTGACAGGATAATATGTTAAGTACCATAGTTTTTCTTCTTTTTAATTTTAACATTTTATTTTATTTCACAGCTGAGCATTTTACTGTCACCCAGTGCTTCAAAATGCTGAACAAAAGAAAACTCCTGACAATTTAAAGCTTACTTCATGTATTTTGTTTAATATAACAAATGGGAATATCTTTGCTAAGATTGTTGTTTACACTATGTCAGTGCTTCTCAAATTTCAGCTGTCTTAACTGCATACATGTAGTTAGATACGGTAAATAAAAATTAATAGAAAAAAGAACAAGGTATTAATTAATAATAATTAACATATGTAACTGTTAACTGATAATTATATAATGAAAAGATTATTTTAGAATTTTTCATAACGCTTAAAAAACTATTTTGTGTCCTACTTTGGGAATCACTGCACTATATGATATCTGAAGCCTGTTGAAATTTATAGATGATTGTTTACTAAACTTGTGTAAATATATTACCTGATTTTTAATTCTCTGATAATTAGATCTACAAATGTCATTTAAGACTTAATTTGTCATATCAATGTTATTTCATAAAATTATTTATTTAATAGCAAATTTTCATTTTTCATGTTAATGATAAAATTAAGATTTTTATGTCATTATGACTCTCTTGCACATGATATGAAAGTATATTTTCTTGAGGGAATTTATATCTAATCTCTATATAATTTGTATAAATTTTGTATATAATATACGTGCTTTGTGTTTTTTGTGATTTTTATTTAACTCATACTTTTAGAAACTGTGTTCATTACACTGAAAACTTTCATCTACTATTAAAATGTATAAGAAAATGCACTATTTTATGAATGCAATAAAAATAGCACTGTATCCAATCATCTCCTTAACACAAGTATCCAAATCATCTCCTTAACACTTTAACCGATCAAACCATACATATATGTCTGAAAATATTTTACTGACATTTCTAAATAATTATGTGTACATGCAGGACTCAAAATAATTTTAAAAATATAGTAGTGAAAAAAGTTCTGATTGGCACTTCCAATTTCCCCCACCTCCACAAATGATAAAAACTTACCCGTACTAGTCATTGCAGTGCTATTAATATTTACACAGTCTCTCAGCTGCATTGTCTTTATCCAACTTATGCTTCAGACACTCTTCAATTGCCCTGCTAATGTGTCTTGATGTTTACTTCCAAAAAACCAAGTTGCGGAAAAGTGAAGGTCCATTGAATATAATCATCTTCAATGTACATCATGTTGCCTGCACATGTTCTGAGATCAGTCTTAATGAGATTAATTTGGCTAAACTACTCTTTCATAAGAAGCTGTGGAAGATGGCAAAACTACGACTATTGATGAAACTAGCTGAGAAGAAGAAATCTCTCTTTGTGTGAATCTGCTTTAGAAAGCCATTTGTGTATTGCTGCAGCCTGTGCTAAAACTTAAACTCATACCATTCATCATATAAAGATATCAAGTTTTGCTCTTTGAAACTGGTTTTGAAATGTCAGCTTTCCTTCAAAGTGTCAATTTCGTCTTTTTCGTAAATTTCCAAATTGTCACGAGGCCACATGAAATAGCCAAAAAAAGCACTTTCCTTTACAACACTCACATCCCATTGTAGAAAACTTTTCTTAAGGTACTTTATTACATGTGAAATTATTTTCTTCTTGTCTGAATTAAATATTTGATGATAATATTGTAAGCTGAATTCTCCTAAACTTCCCACTTATAGTAGTTGACCTGGGAAAACTCGTATTTATATGTGTCTGGTTTAGACTCCAAGTCAATCAGCTCTGAGATTGCCCTAATAATATGAACCTCTGTCGTGCTTAACCCTACCCTGCATGATCTCTGCTTGAAATATCAGAGAAAGTTCTTTAGATACGGAAAGAAAATATAATGAGAAATGTAAAGTTAAGACAAGTCAAAAGTTTCCATTTGTTTAAACTGTGCTCAGGCCACAGAAATATCCTTTTCCTTTTCATTTGTCACATCTGAATGAATGTACAACTATTACATCATAATTGTTTAACACAGCAAGATGGGCACTAGTTTTACTTGATACTCATCAAATTTGTTTTGTGTTTTGTCACATAATACATCTATGTATTTTGTGATACACATCTGTGTGTGTACCTGTTTCTGTCATTATAATACTCAATTTCTATACTATATTTAGATGCTTGTATTTAATAAGCTATGCGTACAGAGGGTATTCACACGTTTTGCAAAGATTTATATATAAACAAACCTTAGGATTTTATTTTCTAATATGTTCAGTATGATAGCCCTTTTGTTAAACTATCATATTACATCTTGATTTCCAAGATAAAGGTCCTTTTCTTGAAACATCAGGGTTGATTTTATTCTACTCGTTCTTCACAATCTCCCAGAGTCCATCTAATGTTTTCGGATGCCGCTTATAAAGAACTCGATTTAAAAGTCCAAATGCACAGTAATCCATAGAACACATCAGGGGACTTGCATGGGATGCAGTTAAAAGGAATAGCTTCAATTTCAGTTTCAGTTCTCATTTTTTCAAAAAATAGAGCATTAGATTTAGAGGTATGGCTTGGAACCTTATCCACACATGTTAGGATAAACAGAATTCCTTCTTTAAAAATAGGTGTTAAAACATATTTCTGGTAGTAATCAAAATTAATTTTGACAATTTTTTTCTACTTTCCTTATTTTAATTTTTCCGTTGCAAAAGAATCCAGTAATAACCATAAAACTTTTAGAAAAAACTTTCCTTGTTTTCTCTGAACGAACATATGGAGTCTTTCTCTCCTCTTTTCTGATAGTAAATTAACCTTTTTCTATTGTAATCAGCTAAGTATATCCAAACCCATCAATTGCAACTATATTGTTGCATGCGTACGAGTTCATAATAGATTGAATGATTAATTCTAATGAAAAGTTAATAAAATTTATTCTTATCACAAGAAATAAAACAAAACGCTGAAATTTTTCCTCACAAATATTCATACAGTATCACACAGTAGTTATATTTTAAACTACCAAAACGTTAAATAGAACACAATTCAAATGCAGAGAAAGCTAATCCAATCTCACCACAAATTCGCTACAGTCAACAACAGCAAATAAGTAAATAGCTGAACTGAGACTTTTTTCCTCCAGCTTTTATAAGCTTTTTAATCAATCACGAGAAGCTTCTTGAGGTTTCTGGAAAGCAAAAGAGTATAACTACAGTTACATCTAACATACAATTGCATTATTTCAATGTAAATATAAATTACGAGATATCTATTTGTTCGGTTTAATACAGCGCCCTCTAGGATCAGTGCCCTCTTGTGAGAGGAGCCAAATTTAGTTGAGTTGGCTGTTGAAGAAGGTATGCAGACAAGCGTCTAGGTACAGCAGGATCACAGCGGGGCGCGCATGTGCAATATGATCTGCGACCAATATGAGGGTTGTACCACTTTGGCGATGATTTTGTTCATCTCCACAGAAGTCACAAAGTGGTATATTGGTGGTAAATTTCGCGTATATCATAGAAAAAGAATGAACTTAAAACATCTGAAGTTAAAAGTAAACTGAAGTCAGAGCAAGACTATTCCTCAACAATATTAAAAATTGCATCTTTGCAAAGGGGTTAAACATAAAATCTAAACAATTCAAAACAAAAAATGATCATAGTAATACAAACTCGAAAACTAAAAATGAAAAAAGGGAAAATATATACAAGATAATAATAATATAAAATTAATCTTCCTTTATTGAAACTCCAATTCAGAACTCATCAGGACAATTTTTGTCTTGTCATCAACTATCTGTCAATTTTTTCTGATATTAATATAAATTTTTCTTTCTCGTAATTTGATTTCTTTGGATTTCATTTTTGAAAAAAATAAAATAAAAATATTGTGTTATTTTATAAGAAAAGTAGCACAAGAGTTGCCTTTCTCCTTTCTTAATTAAAAAGATTTATTTTCAGCTGCTGCTTCATTCATAATTTCTTCTCTAATCCGTTTTATTGCATATTTTCCTGCTCTTAATTAATAGCATTCTTTACATTGCTTAATATTTATATAATGATCTAATTTTAGGAGTTATATTCTGCAAGCATCATAAACCTCTTTACATATGTGATTTGGAGAGGGTGGGAAAATTTGTGAAAGTTTTTCTCTTTTGATGTGTATAAAAAGCAATTTAAAAGGAAACAAATCCTGTTGAAAATAGTAAATATTATTAACAGGTAGACAATTGGGAATGGTTTTGTATTTGAGATAAAGCATAGGATAATTGTAACTGCATTAGTATTTTTGTAAAACTGGAGCACATAAAATCTTCTGATACAAAAGTTTTCTCAAGAGCTTTGTGATAATACACAGGAAGCTGTATCAGATTTGATCGTTATGAATTGCACACATATGAGTGAAAAATAATCTGTGTATTACAGTTACATATTTCTTAAAATCATTTTGAATTATTTACTGTTTCCCATTTTTAAACATGTAAATCAAATTATAAATAGAATATGTAATTGTATGTGCATCATTTATAAAATGTAAAATCACACGAGGAAAAAAATCCTTAAGTGTGTTCTTAAGTCCTTAAGTCCTAAAATCCTTAAGTTTAAGGTACATTGTTAGGGGTTGAATATAAAAGCTCATTATGTACCACATGTTATATACATTTTAAATATAGTCCTCACTTATTAATTATCTACACATCAATGATGTTTAAAATATTAATAATTATATTTTGTTGATCACATAGTTTTAGCTTTTTTTTTTTTTTTTTTTTTTTTTTCCCCTCTTTTTACTATTATTGTAATAGACATTTATATAATGAAAGGTTTTCTTAAAAGAAAAGTGATAAAGTTTCCTTCCTTCACTCTAATTTAAAAAGATTTGTGTAGCTTCAATAAGCTGATTTGTTTCATTCCTATTTTTTAATTACAAATTTTTTTACATGATTGTGTGCAGATTATGTGATAATTTTAAAAGTTATATTCCTTTAAGAAGTAAGATTGGATTATTTGAATAAGGAAAGCACAAAAATGCTGTTCACCTAAATCAAGCCAATCAGATATCTTCAAGTGACAGAAAAACAATGCAATGCAGAGAGATAAGTGTTTCTAAATTAATACTAAATAGGTAAATAATAAATTAAAATATAAAAATTAAATAAAAGAACAAAAAATTGAAAGTAAATCACTAAGAAATCATGATTTAGGCAATATAAAATTTAAATGATAAAAGGAATGAAGAATAAATTAATAAAATATTATAAAACTCAAATGAATAGTGAAGAAATTATTAGTAACAAAATAGATTACTGAACGTAAAAAAAAAGAGGTAACTATTTTCAACAACATTGTGTTCAGCTAAAACTGTATCTTAATTTTGGTTTCTGCTATAATAAACGCCATCTTGACATCATGGCCATGGGCCTGGGCCATGGGCACATTTGCCATGGGCACTAACTAGATGGGTATTTCTTCTAAAAATTATTTTTTGTGACTGGATCCAGTTTGGATATGGAGATTTACATCTTCAGCTGTTCAAGTGTTTGCCATATATTTTGGTTTTTCAAAGGAAATTGATGCATGCATACAAGCTACTATAAATGCAAATTTTACTGTAACATGTAGCATTCATAACAAAATTTTTACAAATATCATCATTCATTTATGCATTAAAAAAATATATTGGTATTCTTCTGTTATCGGAACCAGATTAATAAATTTATGCATGTATGAACTGGAGTATCTATGTGCGTGTCTGCATATACATACATACACACATATACATACATAAGTACATATATATATATACATTCATACGCAAGCACATATATCCATACATACTACATACATACATTTTTCTGAATCCAGCCCCGATAACAGAAGAATACAAGAGGGATGAACACTAACTGGAATTATGACTTCACTTAAAACTGAGAGGTACCGAGTTCTGGTAGGCTCCAATTTTAAAATCTTACGTACTCTTATACACAGCATTTCTATTAATGCAAATGAATGCCATAATGTGAAAAAATGATACTGCAATCTTCAGTAAGTTACGAGACTTTCTTGGATCACCCATAAGATGACAAACTGTAAATTACAGTTCATATGCTAACACCAGTTTAAACAGAATTTTTGTTCTTATTCAGAAAAATACAGTTAAATAAACTATATGTGAAGATAAAATTATTGTGAGATTTATGCAGAATGATTTTAAACAAATAAAGAAATTCAACAGTTCAGCCCAATTTTACTGCAGTTTTCTGTTGTTGCTGAAAGTTCCATTGCTACTAATTAGCAATAACAACAGTTACTTCATATAGGTGGAATACGTTGTGACAAAAATTTTGTTTTACGTGGCAGTACATTAAACAGCTTTACAGCAGCTCTGAACATGAGTATTTCGTAATTTCTAAATCGGTAAATGTAAAAGTTTGAAGGTGTAATATGAGGTTTTCCCCAATTTATATTATTTACATTAACTGTATAATCAGTTCCTCACGTTTTCTCTTTGTAATGGATATCCATGAAAATTAATAATGTTACATAATGCAAATTGCATTAAGTATGTTTTGCATTAAATGTATTATATTGTTATCATTCATAAGGGTTCTATGAGTAGCACTACAATTTTGAAGTTGAATCGGCATCTTGTGGGTCATTTTTAACATTAAATTGTTAACTGAAATAAACAGGCTATGCATTTTGATACCATGATGTAATTTTTGTGGCAAAGACCTTGAAAAAACTAATTTATACATTCATTCGAAATAAAAATTCCCTAGTTACAATCCCATGTTTTAATTTATTATAACACCAAGTTTTTCTCCACAAACTTTTAAGGCAAAGCATATTTATTTCGTTTTTATCTGATTATATTTCTGATTTTGGCCATTACTCCTTATGTCACGTTATTAATATTATATCTTATTAAATATTATTTTATTTATACAAATTCAATATCTTTCACTTATGATGCATAATTGTACCAGATACAAAGGTGCATTTTGTCTTTCGAATGGTTTTCTTTTTTCAATAGCAATATTCGAAATACGATTTGGTTTAGAATCGGCAGATTTTTGGACGACAAAGAGTCACTCATAACTATTATAAATTAAACATGCTAATTCACAGTTCCACTTTCAGTCGGATGACTTCCTAACTAAAATCGACCAGCACAATGCCAAATTGGCGAGAAACGTCGCCAGTCTGGAGTAATTCCAGTAGCAGGGGCAGACGGCGGCTCATAATGCGCATGCTCGCCGAATCGTGACCTGCTGGCCGTAGACGCTTGTGGTATGCAGCGAACCTATGGTGCGTTCGTTCGTTTTTTTTTGTCTGTGCTAATGGAGCACCTAACTTGTAACCTTGTAAATTATGTAAATAATTAAATATTTGTGTGGCTTAACTTAGTTTTATTTTGGAACCAGAGCCAATTATCTCTCGTAACTCATAGCAGTTTATATCAAACAAAATTAATGGTCCGCTCGCGGAGTTGTTTTGTTTTTGTCAACTAAATTCGTATTAGTATAAAATGGCCACTATAGTTGCTATAAATCGAAAGAAGGGCTCGCTAAAAGCCCAGCTAACTAGAATAGAGACTGTCATAGCGGATAGTACCAGCACATGGACTAAAATCAAAATAGATGCCAAGCTCAAGGCCTTGGAAAAGATGTCTGTTGCATTGGACACACTTCGATCAGAATATTATATTGCTGTGCCTGAAAAGGATGATACTTCTGAATTAGAAGAGGAATTATTAGATCTAGAAGCAAGAATCGACGATCTAGAGGTAAGTTTCAATCAAATGTTAATTGATAATGTTGCTAATATTAATAAGGTTGATATCGCAAAGAGAAGTTGTAAAATAAAGTTACCTGAAATTCCACGTCCGCAATTTAGCGGAAAGTATGAAGAATGGAGCATGTTTAAAATTGAATTTAATAATATTAATTATGTTACCTCGAATACTCAATTAACAGATGCACAAAAGCTACATTATCTGTATGCCGCTCTTAAGGGAGAAGCAAAATTTTTGCAAACTCAGGAAGATACTTTTGAATCATTATTTAGGGCTTTAGAAAATCGTTTCGAAAACAAGAGAATTCTTGTTAATATTCACATTAAAGCTATTTTAGAATTCGAAAAAAATTATTCATGAATCATCGAAAGAATTAAGGCGTCTAGTAGATGCTGTGAATAAAAACATTAGAGCTTTAAATAATTTGGGTTTCGAACGAAACAAATTCTCTGATATTTTAATTACTACTTGTCATTTTAGACAAAATAGACAAGGAGGAAACTCGAAAACAATTCGAATTATCGGTAAACGCTTCAGATGTTCCTAATTTCGATAACTTGATGACATTCTTAGAAAAAAGAAGTCAAACTTTGGAAAATATCAAAAAAAAACACAATAAAATCAAAACAAACGAATGAAATAAAACCAAAAAACCTTCTTGTTCATTCAAATAATTCGAAAAGAAACTGCATTACATCTAATTCACCACATTCCCTTTTTAAATGTAGTAAATTCCTTAATATGAATTTTGGTGAAAGATTTACGCTAGTAAAACGAAATAACTTATGTCTGAACTGTTTGGGAAAAAGGCACATCGCTTCGCAATATTTGCCATTCAAAACATCATACATTGCTTCTTAAGGATGAGTCATCGAATTCGGATTCTGTTTCAAATAAACATCTGCAGAAGATAGATGGGGACAGCTGGGGGGGAAGGATATTTCTTCGGCGCCTAATGAGAAGGCGACGAGTCTTTCAAATTGTTTATTAGCTACGAATAAAAGTGTTATCTTGCCATCTGCGCTTGTTATGATGAAAACTTCGAAGGGGACATTCATCAAAGGAAAGGCTCTTCTTGACAGCTGCTCACAGATTAACTGCGTGTCTGATCATTTTGCAAAACAATTAGGGATTAAAAAAACAAAGGTTTTCGCTCCGATTTCAGGATTAAATGGAACTGATATTACTTTAAATTATAAATTGAGGACTTCAATTGCCAATAGGGAAAAAACATTCTCTAGAGAACTTGATTTTTTTATTGTTCCCAAAATTACAGAAATGACTCCCCTTACCCCCATACCTATTGAAAATATTGACATCCCCAGGGATATTTCCTTAGCTGATTACAGATTTAACACACCTGAGGAAATTGATTTATTACTGGGTGCAGAATGTTTCTTTGACTTATTAAAATCGGGTCAAGTTCGCAATTGTTCCAGGAAACGGTTTTTGGATTCGTAGTTAGTGGTATTGTGCATAATTCACCACTTGACTCACAATACTGTGGTCTTCTTACGCAAAATGAAAAAATTGAAGAAACATTGCAAAATTTTGGGAGGTAGAAAATATTAATTTTCCGAATTCAGCACTTAGTCCTGAAGAGAAATATTGCGAGAAACATTTTAATGAAACTCATTATCGAACCTCGGAAGGTCAGTACGTCGTATGCATGCTCATGAAGCACGCTGAATTGTTGAGCGAGTCTAGATATTTAGCAGAGAAAAGATTTAATCAGGTTTGGGAACGATTGGGTTGGGACTCGAATTTACAACGATTGTATTCTGAATTCATGGAAGAATACAAAGATTTAAAACATATGGAACTAGCTGAGGCATCTGAATCCATAACTGATTCGTACTACCTGCCTCACCATGGGGTTTACAGACCAGACAAAAAGTAGTACACGTTTAAGAGTGGTTTTTAACGCCTCAACTGCCACGACATCGGGATTGTCATTAAACGTATATTTTGTTGAAGGGAAGAATTCCACAGCAGGAATTATTTTCTATAATGGTTAGATTTAGAAAACATCCGCTACGCCTTCACAGCAGATGTACAAAAAATGTATCGACAGATTCTAGTACATCCTCCACAAAGAGACTTGCTCAGAATTCTATGGAAAGACAGTGCTGATACACCAGTGCAAACTTATAAGCTCAACACAGTAACGTCAAACGCTCCCTATCTAGCAACTCGAGCTCTTAAATAGTTAGTTATAGATGAAAGCCAAAACTTACCTCTAGCATCGTCCGTCGCTCTTACTGACTTCTATGTCAACGATATACTTTCCGGAGAATCACCACTCGAAAAGGCTAGAATTCTACAATCCCAATTAATAGAATTGTTAAAATTAGGAAAAATGGAATTGCATAAATGGCGTGCAAATCATCCAGATCTGCTTGTGTCTGAAAATAAGGTTACCACTCATTCAGATTACACTTTTGAAGAGCAACAAGAATCTTCGTCCGTAAAAACTCTTGGTGTCCTATGGAATCCTCAGACTGACTGTTTTTTGTTTGCAATGACCATTCCTCACTCTAACAGTTATAGTAAACGAGATGTTCTGTCACTAATTTCGAAAATGTTCGATCCACTTGGTTTAATTGGGCCAGTGGTCACAAAGGCCAAAATATTCATGCAAAGGCTCTGGCTTGCTAAACTCGATTGGAATGACACATTGCCAGATTCTATGGCCAAGGAGTGGATTAATTTCGTATCCACGCTCTCTGAACTAAGTAATCTTAAGATTCCTAGATTTGTACTCCAGAAAAATAACATAGTGCTCCATGGATTTGCAGATGCGTCATCGGAGCATCGTCATACAGAGCTGCAATCTATGTTCAAGCTTTGCCAGTTTCGGGATTGCCAACCGTTCGACTTTTGTGTAGCAAGTCACGAGTTGCACCTATAAAAACCTTATCAACTCCTAGATTGGAACTGTCAGGTTGCCTTCTATTATCCATATTGATGGATAAAGTGATATCTTCGTTGAATGTTAAAGTAGAAAAAGTAACTTTTTGGTCAGATTCTACGATTTCTCTTGCTTGGATTAGAAAATCACCACACTTACTAAAAACTTTCGTGAGCAACAGAGTTGCTTTAATACAAGAGCTTACGGGTCATACCGATGGAAATATGTGCCATCTGAATGTAACCAGCTGATGTCATATTGCGTGGACTGGATGCCAGTGACATTCTTACGTGTGATATCTGGTGGAATGGACCAGATACCTTCTCCGTGAGGACATGCATTATCCAGAACAACCTATTGAGCCTACCACTGATAATGACTATGTCAAGGAACTGAAAATGTTTATCAGACTCTAATTTTGCAATATTAGAAAATAATTTTAGTTTAACCTCTCTCTTAAATCGAACAAATAATTATATGAAATTAATCAAAAATTTGTAGTTTTATTTTTAGGTTCTTCAGAATCATTAAGAATAAGGAAAGGGTTTCAGGGCCTATATCCTTAGAGGAACGGAAAGGGGCCGAGTTAACATTGATTCGGGAAGTGCAGAAAGGTGAGTTTTATTCTGATATTGAGTCACTTAAGAGGGAGTACTTAGGATAGCCAAGTACCCTCGTAGGAGCAAGCTTAAGTCGTTAAATCCATTCATCGATAATGATGGAATCTTACGCATCGGTAGCAGACTTGCACAATCTCAGGTAAGTTATAATTGTAAATATCCAATCATTTTGCCAGCTAGACATAGGTTGACTTATTTGATTAGGTACTATTATCATCTGAAATATTTGCAGAAGCTCTATTGAGTACTGTTAGACAAAAATTTTGGCCCATCAGCGGCAGAAATCTTGCTAGGAAAATAGTACATGAATGCGTACAGTGTTTCAAACACAGATCTGTAAAAATAGATCAGATAATGGGTGATCTACCTGCTGAACGAGTGTCAATTGAGTCAACCTTTAACAAATGTGGACTCGATTTTTGTGGTCCGTTTCTTATAAAGGCAAAAAATCAAAGAAAAGGAGTTTTTCAAAAAATGTATGTTGCAGTATTTGTGTGCCTTGCTACAAAAGCAATTCACTTAGAAATTGTCTCAGACTTATCTTCGGAAGCATTAATTGCTACCCTAAAGAGATTTTTCGCTAGGAGAGGGAAAAGCTCAACCATATTTAGCGATAACGCTACAAACTTTCGTGGAGCTCGAAATGAATTAAGCAAGCTGTTTAAATTAGCCAAAGTACCAGAACAAGGATTATCCGAGACTATTTGTTGTCAGAGGAGATTGAGTGGAAATTTATACTCCCTAGAGCACCCACATTTCGGTGGGCTTTGGGAGGCGGGCGTTAAATCGTTCAAAACGCATTTTAAAAAAACGGTTGGGAATTCAAAATTAACTATGGAAGAATTTTTAACTTTAGTAACACAAATAGAGGGAATATTAAACTCCAGACCAATTTCTCCTCTCTCTTCAGATGCAAGGGATTTTAATGCGTTAACGCCTGGACATTTTTTAATTGGCCGTTCTATAACAGCCCCTGTAGAACCAGAAATTATAAATAAGTCTGACAACAGATTGTCTAGATGGGAAAGAGTCACCAAAATGACTCAAAATATTTGGAAAAGGTGGCAACGGGATTATTTATCGCAACTTCACGAGAGAACGAAATGGCAGTTTAAAAAAGATAACGTTAAATCTGGAACTATGGTACTCGTGAAGGAAGACAATTTGCCTATTTGTCATTGGAATTTAAGCCGAGTTGAAGAAATTATACCCATATTGGATAAAAGAGTTAAGAGTAGTTAGTGTACGCATGGCAAAAGGTCGCTTTAAAAGGCCTATCACAAAATTAAGTATTTTGCCTATACCAGACAACTATCAGATATAAAATTTTTATATCATGAATGGACATTATCACATTATTCATTTAGTGCAAGTATAATATTTATATGTGTATAATTTGTATGAATTTGTATTGCAAGTATAATATTTTTATTTTCTTATTATATGATATTGAATTTAATTGTAATTGAAATAATTTGTGTTAAATTGCATTTCATTGTGTATTTCATATGTATGTCTAAATTTGAATTTGATTGTAAAACTTTTATGGCATTATTGAAACTTGTTTCAATGGGGGCCGGAATGTTAATATACCGCCCTCTAGGATCAGCGCCCTCTTGTGAGAGGAGCCAAATTTAGTTGAGTTGGCTTGTTGAAAAAGGTACGCAGCGGACCTATGGTGCGTTCGTTCGTTCCACTTTGTCTGTGCTAATGGAGCACCTAACTTGTAACCTTGTACATTATGTAAATAATTAAATATTTGTGTGGCCTAACTTAGTTAGTTTTATTTTGGAACCAGCGCCAATTATCTCTCGTAACTCATAGCAGTT